TTTTTTTTTTTTTTTTTTTTTTTTTTTTTCCTTCTTTCTTGCACAGCTGCCAGTCCCTACTTGTGGCAGTCGCTACTGACGGCCAACTCACTCACTCCCTCTCACTCTTCGTGCCTTATTCTCCCATATTTTCTTTTTTTTTCTTTTTTTTTTCTAGCATGCCAAGTGTCAAGTGGCCGTTAAGGCCTTTTTTCTAGCCCCTTCCTCTTAGTTTTGGCCCTTCCTATGCCCAAGGTGCAGTCCGTTATATCTCGGACTGCAATAATGACCTTCTCGTGCCCATGGGAACTTCCCTTTACTTCCATTTTCCTCCCATAGTGGCCCCTCCTATTCCGATTTTCTCCCGGAGGCCCGGAGGGCTATTTTTCACATGGGGTCTCTTTTGACTCCATTTGTTTAGGGAGGCTGTTCTGGGATTTTTCGGATTGCTCCCATGCCTCCCACCTCCAAGTTTCTTTACTTTTTTTTTTCTTTTCGGCCTTCCCGTTTGCTACCGCTAGTGCTTGCACTAGTGGTGCTAATATTATTCGCCGTTAAGATCTCGATCTTGACGGTGCACCTAGCCTTTTTTATTTTCCCTTATGTGATGCCGCCATTTTTTCTTGGGACTTTCACATATCTCCGCCATCTGTCCCAGCAGCGGTCCCCGACACTTAGTCCCACCGGCGGTCCTCGACACTTAGTTCCACCGGCGGCCCCTGACACTTAGTTCCACCGGCGGTCCCGACACTTAGTCCCGCGGGTGGTCCCCGACACATTTCGTCCCGGATGCCATTATTTTTCCTTAGTCCCACGTGGCCCCGGGTACCTTTCCCCGAGGTGTCCCACGTCCCTTGGGCGTTTTGCCGCCCCATGGTGACCCTTCTCCCTTGTCTTTCTTACGCCTTGCGCGTGCCTTTTCCTTTGGTCGTGGGGCCTCCAACCCGAGGCTCCCGTAGGTGGCGCCCATGTTGGACCCTCGTTTTCCCGTTTCCCACGGCCTCCGGACCGTCTATCTCACGACTCCCTCATTCCTTTGTTGTTGTCGTGCCGCGTTTGCTGGTTCGAAGGTCCTTTGGCCTTAGTCTTGCTGAGTTCCAATAGCCCTCCCGGCCTCATGCTACGTCCCATATGCCCTTGTTTCTGCGCTTATTCTCGTGCCGTCGCTGGTTTCCTCCTCCTGTGGTTCTCACCCCAGGACATCACTCCCTCCTGTGGCCCAATCCTTTGTCTTTTTTCTCTCCTGCCTCCTCACTCCAGATTTCTTTGTTGTGCACAATTCGTCTATATTCAGTCTCTTGAGTAATAAGAAGTTATTCAGGACTCATCAGTCCGACACATTCCTCCCACTCATTCGCAATGTCCTCATCGCGCACCAATCTCTTGTCAGTGGGTTTTGGAGGGATAAACGAGAGAGGAGGAGGAAATGTTATGGGTAGTTAGTTTGCCAGGGTCCATTTTGTCTTTTCTTACTCCTTTCTCGGTTTTCTTCTAGTTTCCGGCCTTGGAACGGGGAGGGGTGTATAAAGTCAAACTTTCTTTGTCGTTTAGGCTTCTGATGTGTCATTCATCACTCTTTAGAACATCAAACCCCATTTGTCTCATTCATCACCCGTAGTAAATCAAACCCCTTTCGTCTAGTTCATCACCCGTAGTACATCAAAAAAACCCTTTCGTCTCGTTCATCACCCTCAGAGCATCAATCCTTCTTTTATCTGGTTCATCACCCTCAAAGCATCAATCCTTCTTTTATCTCGTTCATCACCCTCAGAGCATCAATCCTCTTTTTGTCTCGTTCATCAACCTCAGATCATCAATCCTTCTTTTATCTTCTCTTTTATTGCTGCCTCTGCTTCTCCCCGCGCCTTGCCATCCCCAACGTCCTTTTCCTGTTCCTCAATTCATCCCGCGTCAACCACGTCCCTTTTCTAACCCTGGTTGCCCTCAACACTTCTTTTACTTGGCTTTTCGGCCCGTGCAATCCACGTCTCCCGTTATTTTTTCCTCAATCTCACGCTTAGTCCAATTCACGTGTATTCTTCCCATGTCATTTTCCCTAATTTTCTCTAACCCAGCCAATTCCGCATGCACGTTACCCTCATTCGACTTTTTTTGTACCCAAGCTAAAAAATCCGCGTTACTTAGTCCATTTCATACGTATCTTTCTTCTGGCATCTTGCCAGACCTTTCTCAAACTCATGCAAAGTCCATTACATATATATATCTCTTCTAGGCGTCTTGCCAGACCTTTCCTTAAGCCTATGCAAACCCAATTACACATGTCTTTCTCTTCAGAATGTCTTGCCAGACCTTCTCTCACGCCCACACAAAGTCAATTACTCATCCATTTTTCTTCTGGACATCTTACCAGACCTTTTCTCAAGCCCATGCAAAGTCAATTACTCATCAATTTATCTTCTGGACATCTTGTCAGACCTTTTCTCAAGCCCATGCAAAGTCAATTACTCATCCATTTCTCTTCTGGACATCTTGCCAGACCTTGTTTCAAGCCCATACAAAGTCAATTACTCATTCATTTCTCTTCTGGACATCTTGCCAGACCTTTTTTCAAGCCCATGCAAAGTCAATTACTCATCCATTTCTCTTCTGGACATCTTGCCAGGCCTTTTCTCAAGCCTATGCAAAGCCAATTACTCATCCATTTCTCTTCTGGACATATTGCCAGACCTTTTTCTCAAGCCCAAGCAAAGTCAATTACTCATCCATTTCTCTTCTGGACATCTTGTCAGGCATTTTCTCAAGCCTGCGCAAAGTCAATTACACGTTTTCTTGAGCTCATGATGACCTTCTCTTTTGCACGTTTTTTCATCGGTAGATGACAATAAATAAGAAAAAAGGAAAACAACACATTTTGAAATCTCCAGTTGTAATGACTGGACATCCACATTGGGACGACGATTTGCAATGAACACAACCAGGGCATCTCCATCGACGACTGTGTGAGGGTATTCACGATATGAACAACAACATTCCATAAATGGACGATATTACAGACGACACCTTTATTACACCTTTGCATTTCATTCGCGGAGAGGACACCTAAACGCAAGTTAGAGAGAGAGAGAGAGAGAGAGAGAGAGAGAGAGAGAGAGAGAGAGAGAGAGAGAGAGAGAGAGAGAGAGAGAGAGAGAGAGAGAGAGA